GTTTCGTTAATTGTGTGGCATGTAAAAAAAATTATTAATCCTCACTCGACAGCGCAATCCAATAACCCCGTCGATCCATAAACCGCACTAAAAAGTACAGGATGGAGAGGCTTTAAAATAACAAAAGTTGGGTTTTCCAAGCTCCAGGCGGAAATGGATCAAGTTGATATTTTGATGAAATTTTTATAATGAATTTTAATATTTTCCATTACAGCTTCTAAAGTGGCCTCTACCGGTATAGCAGGCTATTCAAAATGGCACCTCTTATTGGAAAACCTTTTAGTAAGGTAGCTGCAAACGCGTTTTTGTCGAAACAACGTCTGTACGATCGGCTCGAATGATAAAAAAAATTTCATCCAACCGAATGGGCTGAAGTTTGAATATGTTATTTTTTATAAGCCATCAAAGGAACTATAATCTTTTTATCGCTAACTTTCTATTTTACAGCCCAATTTCTACTTTAAAAATTCCACTTTTTTCGAAAAAAAAAAAAAAAACCAACTTCGCCCTTTAGTGACTCCATGTGCTAAGCACAATGAAGCTATTATATGGCTTCGGCGCGTTCGCTTGCATTCAGTTCTTCATGTCTAAGGGAGTTTTTCAAAATTATGACCTAAGCTAATCTAACCAAATCAAGCTTCAAAGGAAAAAACACAAATTTGTATTTAAACACAAAGAACAATAATAAAATAAAAATTAAAAAACGCACAAAATTGTACTCTACTGTATTTAAATAAAATAATAATAAAAATAATAACATAAAAATTAAAAAAAAACGCACATACCATAATCTGAATAATATTCTATTTTTGCATTGATTGTTTGGTTAATTATTTAGCACAAGGAAACAAACGGTACGTACTCGTACATACATATGTATGTACATAATATCGCAACTAAATAATATTTGAGTTTCTTAAGTGTGTATAATATACATAATATTTAGATATGTTTGCATATGCGATGCTGCAGTGCCAAGAAAAAAAATCTAAACTTGATTGACGTCCCAAAACAGCTGACATTGACCCCACCACTCGAGCAATGTTTTGCAAAATATTTATATATTTAGACTAATCTTATTGCTCAGGTAAGTTGTTGAGAATTTTTATGAAAAAAATAAACGGAATGAATTATAAAAAAAAAATATACAAATTTATTCTACGATAGCTGAGTAACTACGGGTTTTATGCTATAATATTTATTTTATGATAAAAGGCTATTTTTAAATATCATATTTACTTATTTTTAAAGTGGAAAGTGAGACTTCTTTAATGATTTGATTTACTAGAGAATTCCACTATGAAATTAATTATTTTTACAAGAAATTTTTATATGTAGAAATGCAATCTGGAAGAGAGATTGAAATGGTCAGTGATGCTCTCTACGCAAGTAAAAGGAAGCTATGGTCTACATGGCGACTATTCTCTGTCCTTATGCATTGATGTTAAAAATAGTATGCGATAGCTAGGCCGATCTTGATATACGGTGCTCTGCTGTGACGGACCGCTGCCAGAAAAATCTCTTACAGAAAACCATTGGTGAGTGTACAGCGATTCGCTTACACTCTGCATAAAGGGTACGCTAAAAACCATTCCAACGGTTGCATTAGATAGGGCTTATCAACCTGCTGCCAATCGACATTAGAGTGGAAAGCACTGCTGACTTCCCTAGCTAGCTGTAAGCCTAGCGTCGTTGGGTGAATTTCCTGCAAGAACCTTCGGGAATATCTCGATGAGCAGGGATGTAGCAGTGGACAAAATAGACCACATAGCATGCAACATCTGCAAGGATGATGGAGTGCGCGCCGGAATCTATAGCACGGAGACTAGATCTCAAACAAACCTTTAAGCTTACAGATTTTTTAAGTTAAGTTTTAGACGCAAATACTCGCGGTGAGGCAATAACCTTACATCGCATTGCGTCAGAGAATATCTTTAGAAGCATGGTAGCGGTAGATGGGACGCTGCATAAAACCGATTGCATATATACTAAGTTCTAGGCCAGAAGGACATTTCGGGAAACAAAATAGCTAATGAAATTGACGAAAGTGTCTTCCGGTTGCCTACCGGACCAGGGCGGGAAATACGCAAGTCGCTAAAAAATAATACCCAATGAAATTTTTGAAAGGGCTAACCAGATCAGAATGGAATAGATAAGCAGGTTCACCAAGATCAAGATGCAATAGCACCGATGCAAAAGAAACGAATTTTTTGCTCACGCAGTTTCGAAAGGAAGTTTGACTGTTGACTTAATTACAGATCACAACCTATTGGCATCACACACTGGAATATCTCTTTTATCTCTTATGCTTTTCTCTAGCTCTATCTAGTACTCGTGTTAGACATCTAGGAGTTTTACGGTACTTGACTAAATATCAAATATCAAGGCTTACTTATATATAATGGGCGCTTTGTAACCGCTGAAGCGATTTTCTGCCGAGCTCCTCCTACAATTTGTGGTGCCGTCTCGATGTTTTTCTAAAAAATGGAGGGACCTACAGTTTAAACTAAGTCGCCCCCCCCCCCCCCCCAAACGCCTGATGGTCTTTCATGAGGAGCTTTATTTCAAACTAAAGTGAACCTCTAAATGGCATTACAGAGGACCAAGCGTGCCCTACATAGACGCCAGCCAGTATAAGATAACCTAACCTATTTAAATATTTATGAAATATAATAACAGGGATTTGTTGTGTTTTCTCAAAAGCTTCTTTTGAAAGAAAAAAAAATAGTTTTGTACGTTTTTTCTTTGTTTGTTTTTCGTATAAAAGAATAAAATTTTATTAACTTCTAAATATTTTTCATGAAATTTCGAAATTTCGAAAAATTTATATTTATGGGGGAGGGGGCATATTATAAAAGTATAGTAACTCAAGAATGTTGTCTGTAAATAGGAAGTCAATCGGAGCAAAACTCACAAAGATATAGCTTTGGAAGTAGGCGGGTCTCGAACGAATACCTTCGCTTCGAAAAACTTTAAACGCGTTTTTCTCAAATCGATGTTTTTTGAGTCGGTGCAATCTGTATCTCAAAATCTATTCAACCGATCGTTCTAAAATTTTTTACAGTATTTCCTTACATAATTTATGAGGTAACCCTGTCGAGATTTTTTCGTTTTTGATTTTAATTTTTTTATTATTAACAACAATAGTCATGAATTTTGGCCAAAAATCGGTATTTTCACTTTCAAGTCTTGTAAAAAGTTCAAAAACTTAAAAAAAAAATTGAAAAACGACAGGGATACCTAGAGGGACATAAAAATTGATGGAAAAACTTTGGTTATTTCATTTCAGATGATCTAGTGCTGAGGTATGACGTGCACCGCAAAATGTATTTTTTCTGAGGCGCCTGCGAAGAATTGCTGCCATTTGGTCAATTTTAAATATCTTTCAACCAATATTTCACAGAATATAGTTTAATTACTACTCTTTATTGTACAATAATCAGAAATAAATTTACTTTCACCGTACGCCCAAAAAAATCTGTAAAAACCTGTTTTTTTCTGCCTTCAAAACCCATTATTTTATTATTATTTTTTTACGAAATAATTTAAAAAAAAAAATAAAATAAAATGAAAAAAGAACTAAAGCCCATATAAATGGGTAGTAGAAGGCTTGCTTGTGAGCACATATGTATTAGAATTTTTGGGCAGATTTTTAAAAGTCACTGTAAAAATCATATGCAATAAGTAAGATTGGATTTCCTCGATAATACTTTAAGCATTCGATTTTAAGTCCACAGATCGGTTAGAGTTAGAAGATCTGTCATATAGTAAATAGGTATATTTCTGTAACTGGTCAGTCATTATTTAGTCCCTAATAAAAGTAGCATGCATACTAGTTTTAGTGGATTTATGCATTAAATATTCGACACCGAGTCAAGCGGGTGGTGGAAAGCAAAATGTATGGGATAAAGATGTCGTGGTTAACTTCATGTTATCATGCTAGACCATGGGAACTATAAGTATCGAATTCTATCTTACATAAAGTCCCGTGGTTGCTGATTCTGAAATTTTTAACCCAAGAAAAAATGGTGTCACGCCCAGCCGTAATTTTTTCACCCCGAGTATTTTTCCAATTAATGCGATACGAATTAACGATGTTCGTACTTCTTTAAAATACCGTTATATGTAAGGTGGTCGTAAGTGTGGTATCTTAATCCTTGAATTATCGTGCACAGAGGCAAACGGACAAACAGAAAAATAGACATTGACTAAATCGATTCGCATTGACATCACCGTGAGAGGATCATCCGAAAAATGGTTTCGAAGAAAAACGGTTTAAAATTTAAAGCGCCGAACAAACCTTCCTTTAGGCGCGCACCTACCTAAGGCTGTATCTACGAAACTTTTATTCGGTCCGACTTGAAATATATAAAAAATTTTGAAAATTTTGTATACTGTGTTAGAAATAATTTCAATAAATAATTAATAAAAAAAAGAGAATTAAGCAGCAAAAATAATAATAAATTTAAAATATATTCTTTATACAATTTAAATAATTTTTACAAGTTAAATTTCCTTTTTTATACTTTTCATGGGAATTTAATCAAAAAAAAAAGTATTAAACAAAAAAATATTAATATTTTTCAAATATATTCTTTATACATTTTAAATAATTTCTTTAGGTTAAATTTAATTTTTTATGCCTTTATCTTTAAAATATTTTGTATTATAATTATGACATAAACCAAAGTTCACTAAAATAAAATTATTCATTTTTCTATTGCTTTGTTGTTTTTCTAAATGACCTTCTATTTATAATTCTATTTATAATTTAATTAAAACCCTTGCAACATTTGTGGGGATTCCTCAAACCTATTATTTATTTTCTTTCCACCTCAACTTGTTTTCAGCCAAAATTCTTTGCTTACATTCCACAAGAAAAATGCATAAACAACATTTGTTTTTCTTGCTCTTCATTTGCATAAATATCTCTCAGACTATGCATGTATTAAAGAAGAAAAAAAAAATCTATTTTGATTTTACTACATTAGACTACTCACCCGACTGATCTTCGCACGTGACGAACTCTTGTCCTTCATCTCGAATTCACTATCACTATCCACTGGGTTCGTGCCGAGTGCCACATCTTCTACCTCGGAGCGTTGCAGCTTACGATATTTGCGCATATCATGTTTGCTTGGATTGTAATCCCGTTTGGCATCATAGCTGGGTATGCCGAGATCGGTGGCTTCATCGTTAAATTCGCCAGAACTAAATTCACCCTCCTCATCTTCATCTGAGTATTCTGCGACACGATCTGTACGATGATAATTATGATTGTGTATATTATGTATATTATTATGGGCAGGTACTTGTTCATTGGGATTATGATTTGGATTTTGATTTTGATTTATATTTTGATTTTGATTATTATTATGATTGATATGCTTAAGATTATGCGTCAAGTTCATAAGTTTACGCAACGTTCGTCTTTTGTTTGTGGTTTGGGCATGGTTTGTATTGTTGCTACTGCTACTACTGCCATTGTTATTGTTGCCGTTATTATTTTGTAGGCGTAAATTCGGCATTTTGAATGGCAACAAAGCGTGTGACACACAGGTATAGTAAGTAGTAAAGAACTTTGCGACTATTCGCGATACGCAAATGCGTTTACACTAGCGTTCGTACGAAGATAAATTGAACGCGTTAAAAAGCGCAGTGCGCAGCGAGTAAGAGAGATCAGATAAGTCTGTTTACACTACATGACAGCCAAGATGTATACGCTATCAGATTAAGTAGTTCTGGTGACACTGTTGACACACTGAATTAAATTTCTTATTTGCCCAAAAAATATATTGTATTTAATTTATTTTAAGTGATTTACATATGTTGTATGTTTGTATTCACAGATTTCTTTAGCCAACACTTAAGTGCGATAAAGCAGCACAAAAAAAAAAACGAAAAGTAGCCTAAAAGGTTGGTAACTGTTATCACAATTAACTGCGCAGATACTTTATTAATTATACAAATTTTACACTGTTTTTTTTTTTAAATAATCATAAATTATTCATTTGTCTAAAATTTGGCTATACGCGTTTTCAAAAAAAAAATACGCTATGCGTCGTCGTCTTTCATCAAAATACGTGCGATCGCGTACACTAGGTTTTGCTTTATGCGCGTTTGCTGGGTACACGTATACTAAACAACAAATGATTGCTGTTGTGCTGTCCGTTGCGCGACACAACAACGATAACGTGATAGCTATTGGGTAGTCGATTTTCTACTGTTCGCTTGCAATTGCTCGCGCAAGCTAAGAAATCAACGCTGCTTGGGGCTGGGAGTGCTGCTGCTGCTGCTGCTGCTGTAGCTGTTCAGCTGTCGAGCTGTTGAGCTGTTGCTGCTCCCTCGCTGCTTTCTGCTGTAAGCTATCAACAGTACGCCGGGCAAATTCTCTCCCACCCGAACATTTTTAGCCAACACGAGTAGCGGCATGTTGTTATTATTAGTATGAGTATGCTAAACGACTTGAGGTGGTGAGTAATCGGGCGCTGTTCATTCATTGCGACCATAGTAAAATACGATTGAGTGCGCTTTCAGATACAAAAAGCTAATATAGTATGTATGGGAGTATTTTTATCGGTACTCAATAAAGCATATATATTAACGAGAAGCCCAGTAGAGAATACCGTACAAATTTGTACGCTGTATTTGAGAGATAAGATTTCGTTGTTTCGCCCGAGGGCAGATAGGATGTATAATATGCATACAATATAATTGGCGCTGAAGCCGAGCTTCTTCTCCAAATTGTGATGTGTGTCTTGATGGTCTACCAATAAATGTAGGGTCCTACAGTTTATGCTAAGCCGCAAAAGCGTTTGCAAAGATTTCCCATTTTGCAAAGATTTCTCATTTTATAAATTCGAAGAAAAGTGTAGCTGAGGTCCATCGAATGTTTGTGGAAATTTATGGTGAATCTACGCCGGCTAATTAGTCATGTAGAGAGTGGTTTCCACGCTACAAAAGTGGCTTTTGGGTGTCGAAGGCACAGAGCATCGTGGTCGGACCAGATGGGTATGATGTACTATGAGCTGAAAAAACCAGGCGAAACCATTGATTGAAATCTTATCGACTACAGCAAGCACGTTTGAGCCATGCATTGCGTCAAAAAGGGCAAGTAACGACTGAAAGGCATGATAGGTGATTTTGCAACATGACAACGCTCAGTCCCACGTGGCTGTAGCCGTAAAAACTACCTAAACTGACTGATACCACCCGCCATATTCTCCAGACCTTTCCGGTTAGGATCTATTGAAGAAATGATTGGATCGAGGACTCATATTTTAGAGATAGTATTCGATGGCGAAAAGTAGTCGGTTTGGACGTAGTAACGTGTGAACGTTATTTAACTTAACTTATTTATTTAACTACTTAAATTGACTTGATATCAGATACGGCTAGCCATACTGCTTTTGAGATCAGACAAACTTGCTCTTTTAAGTAGTATTACAGAGGAATATCGAACGGTATACAATTTGTTGTTTATGGCTTACAGGGAGTTATTCCGCCAACAGAAAACCTTATAGGAAAAAAAATATTAATCAGCAGCTCCATTCGTACTCCGAATTCGCTTCCAACCTAAAAGACAACTATGTATATGATTAAGCGCTTCGGCAAATTCCTTTCGCCGTGGTATCTAACTTTGAGATTTCTTCGAATTCTCAGTTCTGCAAAGCTTTTAAAGTCGTGACATCGATAAGGCCGTTTTGGTTGAACTTCGTTCACCTGCAAAAGGTCTGAAAACCTTTGGCTTAGTTTTTGGAATACTCTTTGTGGGATTTTATATAATTATATTTATTTAGTACTCTTGACAATCCAAGACGTAAAACGAACGTACTTCGGATATCTCTAACGGTTTTAAAACGGTATTGGGATAAAAACAATGTTAAATGTTCCCGCACAAAGGAAAATCATAGCTCCAACACAGTTTAGGTTTTGGCTGTCCTTTATCCGTATCAAATTCACACATAGAAGATCTCTCCTGACCCGTACTATCGGAAAACTCTGAAAGTAATGATCTAATCCTTCAAATACTTGGAGTCAGAGAGAGGGAAAGACATCGCTTTGCCGCTATTTTATCCTACACGGTACTTTAAAGCACATACACATATGTTTTCGAAATTTTATAAGGGCCGAGTGAATGATTCTGCATTCATATTCGCACTTCATGAACAAAATATATTTGTCGTAATGGTAATAAATAACGGGTAAACAGAACAGAGAAGATTCTGCCTCTTTTGTTAGTCAACAATTAATACAATGAATGTTTAAAGAGTTTACGCTCACAATGCTGTCAACCAAGTGCTGCATAAGCTGCTACTCATTCGGTTGAGAGGTAGAGGAGTTTACGTTGCTCTTTGGTCGCTATTAAACTCTCAACATTTTGTTTTTCTGCTGCTGTTCTTGCCAACTGGGGAACACTTATCGACAGCGTGGCGCTAGACGGCAGACTCGACTATTTATTGTACAATAGCGGAGTGGGAGGGCGCGGCGTCTACCTCTAAAATATTTATTTTTATTAATTGTTTCTTGCTCAGCAACAACAATTAGATGTATTACACTGTACGTATTTAACAAATGAAATTAGCCTTGTACATTGCGATATAATAGAATTACTATGAGACAAGATCGGCCGAAAATCGCATTAGGGGTTGCAAAGCGCCAATTATATATATGAAAAAAAGATCATACTAAGATCAGATAAAAAGAGTAGTTGTTGGGAATTCGAAATAATTGCGGCTAGTTGTCGACAGCGAGCCCTCTACTTTGCAATAATTAGAGATTCATCAAAAATTAATTGCTTGGATACCAAAAGCCCCGAAAGAAGTAATGGCAAGTACCTTCTGGTTTCCATTGTACTGACTTCTGGTTGGCAGTACTGTTGGTCGCCATTGAAAAGGGCTAGATAACCTTAGCTTTGAAGTAATTTAGATTCCTTATGGCTTAGAGGATGTGTTTCAGAATTTTTTTTTTTTTTTAGTTCAATGAAGCAATACTCTTTTCGGAGACGGTCTTTTCGACAGCGGATACTTGCTTTATACTCAGTTTGGTTTGCCATTTCTAAATGAATATATTATACCTCTGTTCGGTCGGTAATTCGAGCAACCATAGTTAAATGCGCATCCTCAGAGACGCTCTACAGTGGGCACCGATGACAAAATTGTTGCTGTGGAGTAGAGTATCGAAGAAGACCCAAATTAATCTATCCGCTATCGCGTATGACTATTGGAGCTGACACGTTTTGGAAAATTTTGCGAGAAGGCCACCGCTCACGACAGTCTAGTTTAGTGGTGAAGCTCACCACTGATTGAATAAGTGCGTTCAGAAACAAAATAGTTGCGTTTGGAATGATGATAAGCCATAAGCCATTGTTAAGACACCGTTACGTTCTCAAAAATTCACTGTTGGTGAGGTCTATGGGCAGAGGGTTCATATATTTTCCATAAATGAAGCTGGCTCTTATCTTACAGTCAATGCGGAGCGATCCAGACTGATCTATGCAGATTACAACGAAACGATTGACGCCTTAGAAAGGCACATTGAACGCTTCAATTATTGAGGCTCTCGGCAGAAATTTATTCGCACCATTTTTCTGGTCAATTGGCCGAAATCATTTTTAAAACATAATAGCAAAGCTTTATCTCTATAATAAGGCTAAATTATTGGCTATTAGCTTAAATACAATGCATTTAACTTCTTCTTGAAAACCATATGTATAAAAAAACACCTTTTATATCTCTCCTCTCTCTCTCTCTTTCTACGACGCGCTAAAAAACCCTGAATTGAAGTAGGATTTTATGAACGCTTCGAAGCTGGTGGTATTTTGGGGATCTCCTCGGTAGCCAAGTGGTTAGCATTGCGTACTGCCATTCGGAAGGCTCTCATTCAAATCCCCGTGCGACCAACATCCAAAAGTTTTAGATAATTATTATAAATAAAAATCTAAGCTAAATTTTTTAATTGCGGTCGCCTCTCGGCAGGGAATGTTCACACCTCCTATTGATTGTATTTCTGACATGAAATGATGCGTAAGTCCTACCATTTGTTGGAAAAACATCAGGAGAGGAGCTCGGCGGAAAATCGCTTCAGCGGTTACAAAGCGAAATTTATATATATTTACAAAATATACAAGGTTTTGTTTTCATATTCAATTCATTCGAAAGCGTGTTTTATGCGGAGGGAGCTGTTGCACCTCAAATTGATTAGCACGATTATAGCACGATCCCATCTTATGCCAAAGCAACCAGAATATACTATAAA